TCCCTTAATAGTTTTGCGAGATCCCGCAATACTTTTGCGAGATCCCTTAATAGTTTTGCGAGATCCCGCAATACTTTTGCGAGATCCCTTAATAGTTTTGCGAGATCCCGCAATATTTTTGCGAGATCCCGCAATAATTTTGCGAGATTCCGCAATACTTTTGCGAGATCCCGCAATAGTTTTGCAAGATCCCGCAATAGTTTTGCGAGATCCTGCAATAGTTTTGCGAGATCCCGCAATACTTTTGCGAGATCCCACAATAGTTTTGCGAGATCCCGCCATACTTTTGCAAGATCCCGCAATAGTTTTGCGAGATCCCGCAATACTTTTGCAAGACCCCGCAATAGTTTTGCGAGATCCCTTAATAGTTTTGCGAGATCCCTTAATAGTTTTGCGAGATCCAGCAATACTTTTGCGAGATCCTGCAATAGTTTTGCGAGATCTCGCAAAAGTATTGCGGGATCTCGCAAAACTTTATTTTTTCCTTCCATGTCCCTTTAGGGGCTCCGTAGAAAGTAGAGTTAATGGTATAAAAAAAAAAAGGTAAGGGGTCGAAGGAAAAAGTAAACATAATTACTCCAGTAAAGTATAGATGGCCAATATTTCTACTTAAGGAAGGTAATGAAGTATTTTTATTCTGTTACTTGACGTCTCGGCTTAGATAGAAGCTCCTCTGGTTTGTTCCAAATGTTACTGTGTGTCGGTGAACTGATGGTGAGAGACGTGAAAGGTGAAGCCAACCTCACGTTCAGTTTGAACGCACCTTAGAAGGAAAAAAAAAAAACTCTTATAGAAGAGCAATCATACTTTCTTCTGTTTTTTTTTCCTCCCACCTGTGCAGGTGAGCTGGAGCTGGTGTTGGACCGGCGGCTCCAGCAGGACGACAACCGCGGCCTCGGCCAGGGGGTCACAGACAACAAGCTGACGGCCAGTCTCTACCGCCTGCTGCTGGAGGACCGCAAGGGTGGAGCCAAAGTAAGGGGCGGAGCTTACACCCTTGGGGGTTCATTTGTAGCCTGCAGGTTCTCACCAGTGATCATAGAACAGGTTACCATGGTAACAGGGATGCACTACATCACACCGGCGTCTGTGATCTGACGTATTCCTGGATTCTGCTGAAGGAACGATGAGTTAGCAGAACCTGTTCTGATTGGATAGTTCCAGCCAATCAGCTGTCAGCTGGGTCCTGATGCGCAGTACTGCTGCCATCTAGAGGTCAGGAGTACTCTGAGGAGGGTCAGGTGACCCCGTCACATGCAGAGAACGTTTACCATATAAGGATAGATCTGCTTTATTTCCTGAAGAAATAACCTGCATGTTGTTTCTGTAGCCGAGAGCGATGGAGGGAAAATATAAAGGAAGAAAAGAACGCAATGTAACACATCTGATTTACTTTATTTATATTCATGAAAAATAATTTTCAGACCATTTTGCTGTCACCACAGAGCAAACAGTTTACAGACGGATTAAAGCTACAACATCCATTTGATGTCAATATCAGAAACAGCTTTATTGATTAGGTGTTTTTTACACGTCCTGGTCCCCAGAGCCCAGAGTCCAGGTGCTGCAGGTGTTTCCCTGCTTTGAGCACCTGGTATCCAGCAGAATCTCCTCCTGCAGGTCATGGAGACCTTCTTTATTCTGAAGGACCTCAAACGGCTCCTCCTTCAGAAAACATCTGGTTAGAACTAGAAATGTGCTCCTGCTTCTTAGTAATAAACTGTTTTTATCCAACAGGAAGTGGGCGGGGCCTCTGTTCAGCACCTGTCTCTGCTCGCCCACCTGGCCTCCCTCTCCCTCTCTCACCCTCCCATCGCCATGGTCGCCCCGGGCAACGGGCAGCTTCCAAAGCTCCGCCCCTTCCAGCCGCTGCGCTCCTCTCTGCCGTGTGACGTCCACTTGTTGAACCTGAGGACCCTGGAGGACCAACAGGTGAGAGCTGAGGTCACTTCCTGCCCCACCCACCCAGAAAAAGTGCTGAACACCTTGATAGTCACGAGGAACCATCAGTTAAACGCTTTGAAGAAACCAGAAACCAAAACTTTCCCATCCAGACTCTAGTTACTGAATTAAACCGAAGGGGGCGCTGTTTATCTATTGAACCCACTGATCTCTATTTATTCCCTGGACTGCTGATCGTCGTTGGTAGTATGGGGTTTAACTGAAGTCACTGGTCGCCATATTGGTACTCCCTAGTTGGACCGGTCGCCATGTAAACA